GCAGAACTGACCAGTCACACCCCCCCCCCGCACCTCCCGGGACGTGTTGGGGTGTCGCGGCCCTGGGCTGCCACTTTAGGCCTACAGGTGAGGCCACATGGCCTGGCAGCTCTGAATCATCTCCTGTCTCCCCTTCCGGCCTCAGGGCCCTCCCTCTCCAGCACAGGGACCCCCACGGGCCTGTCAGCACATGCCCTCCTGCCCCGTCTGCCCCTTGCAAATGTCTCTTGCTCTCCAGGCCATGGATGGAAATGAGGCTAATGAGGCCCGTCCCCGTGGGGCTGTCCGAGCGTTAAATGCTGTGAGGTGACCACACATGGAAACGCAGTGCTCCGTGTTGGCTAGAATTACGTTTATTCACAAATCCACCGCTGTTTCCGTGCCAGGTTCGGGGGACAGAGCAGCAAACGGAACACAAACACCCCTGCAAACAGAGATGTGGGACTTGGGTTCTCCGGGGCAGACCGACAGTGAAAGAGCGAGAACAACACACACAAACACACAACGCGTTGGTAAGGGTGTGCCCCGAGAGAACCCCACTAGGGAGAAGAGGGAGACGGATTCGCGTGTGTGATTTAAACCCAGGGGTGGTCAGGGAAGGCTTCTTTGAGGCGACGTTTGGGCAAAGACCCAAGGATGTCAGGCTGACGGTTACGTAATTTGCAGTTCCTGTCTATGCCTGCAGGAAAGAGCAAGCGACAGAAGCCGGAGGTTGAACGTGCTCCTACTTTAGGTTTTTCTGGGACATCTACAGTTGGGGGACTGGGGCTGGTGTCCCTTCCTGTGTGTGGGCCTAGGGTCCACAAAGATAAATGACGGGGCCCCTGAGATCCAGGGGGACACGAGAGAGAAAGGCACTGACAACATTAATAGAACATGGTGGAAGGAGTTCACGCCAGTGATTTCCGTCCAGGGCGTCGCAGACCAGCCAGGAGGGAGGGATCAGCTCTGACCGGGTAGGCAGCAAGGCATCATGGATGAGGGGGCCTTGGGGCAGTGGAGAGACTGAGCTGCTTCTACCAGCCTGTCCATGAAGGTCAGGCATGCTGGCGAGATCCACGCCAGGGCTCCAAGCTCTCGGGTTCTCGAGGGCTCTCAGGGGTGAGACTTTCGTTAGCATGTTCCCGGTGGACGGTTGGCAGCAGGGGTTCTGAACAAAGGCTTCTGCCATCCGATGAGTCCGGACCCTGTTTGATAGTTAGCTTCGCTGCAGGATTTCCCAGAAGCACAGATATCCCGAGGCCGCGGCTCCTCAAGAGGAGGATGCTGTGGGTTTCCAAACTCCCTGCATCACGGACTCCCTCCACCGATGGGCACCCACTCTGGGAAACAGGGTTCTGGGGTCTACCAGCTGTGCGGACAGTGTCTCCACGCAGTCTGGCACATTCTCAGGAAGAACAAGTGGGTGGGGGTTTCCACAGCCCCAAATCCCAAGTGACACAGAAATCCCCAAGCCCTACGGGGACACAACTGAACTGGAGATGGGGGGGTACTGTGTTCACAAGCCAGGGGAGATC